CATTAAAACAAAATTTCGAATCTTATCTGAAAAACAAAATTATTTACATCAAGGTCCCATAAACAAATTGCGTGCATATGTATAATGTCATGTATGTGTGAAGTTTGATTGTGATTGGTACAGGCATTTCTAAGAAACAGGTCCGGACGCACGCACAGACACACGCACGGACACACAGAGGTTAAACATAAGTCCCTGTTTTCAGACTGCGTCCAAACAGGGACTAATGAAAATATAAATGAAATATTAATTATTTCATATTTTATTATATAACGTTCACAAAAATAATCAATATTGTTCTTTGCTAGAATGATGTGTAACTTCATACGGGAAACCTGATAAAGTTCACAACTGGCGATTTAGCAATATATGGATTGTCAATGTCACTGGGTTCGTCATAAAATCTATCACAATTGGTCTGTTCTGTTTATATATACATGTCCAGCCTCTAGATAGTGTGTTTAATACAGCCAGGTAGGAAGATTGTTGTGCATATGTACACTTTGCGGTCACGACGTCACGATGCCACCTAGCCATGCTCCTGGCAGAACATTGTAGTTTATAGACGCGTGCTTATGGAAAACAGCGTATTTGCAAAAACGTGAGAATTAATTACTACCGAACAGTATCACTGACTTGGCTGAAGGACATTGTGAATCATTGCCAAATTGTATAGGAAACTAACTTGACTGAATTACTGCCAGATTGGAGACATGAGGTCACTGACCTGACTACTAGAACAAAAGGATGGAAATAACCTTTGTCCCCATTCCTGCACTCCTCCTGGAGAAACCCCGGTGGAATTGGGAGCACATGTAGAGGCAGTCTTCCCTTGGTGACCGAGGTGTGAGCAGGTTGTGGTCGTGGTCTCTCCCTGCAAGTTGTGAAGAGATTCGGACCATGCTGCATGAAGACTGACCAAAGAGCTCTACTAGGCCGATAATGGAAGCCACTAATAGTGCTGAGAACATACCAAGCCACTGAATATCATACTGACTGAAGACAAGGGAATCATCGATTTGATACCACTATGGATTGACTACAAAGAAAGTTGTCGAAGGTCTGCAAAATTGTCCAACACCTATCAACATGGGGATCGTCCCAGCTCCGTTTAAAGGTAAACAATCAGAGAATGCAACAAATTGGTTACAGAATTTCAATGCATATGCAGACTTTAACCAACTACAAGATGATAGAAAGGCTGCAGGTTTCAGGATGCTGATGGCGGGTCCGGCCGAGATGTGGGTAAATGAATGGGCGGCCCAAGTGAGAGATGATTATGAAGCTTTGATGGCAGCCTTTATTGCATATTTCGAGAACGCTGATTTAGACTGGGTGCTTGAACAAGAACTGTCTGAGCGAAAACAGGGAGCCAACGAATCTTTAGAATATCACGCAGCAAATATCAAGTCGCGTTGTGCCCGACTTCGTAAGACGCCCGAAGAACAATTACGTTATTTTCGCGCTGGACTACAAAATGACATCAATAGTCAAGTGATTGCGCATCAGCTGCAAACGATCGATGAAGCACGACAAAGGGCTCGACTGAGTGAAATAGTTTGCCATATGCAGGAAGAAGAAAAGAAGGAGAATAGCGCAGAATTATCAGCGATTGAACTCAGTGGGGAAAGATTAGCACAGAAAACTGAACAATTATTACAACAACATCGACCGCAATACGTATACAACCCGCCGCAGTTTGAGGGACCCAGAATGAATGAAGGCCAGACCGTTGATACAGCAAGCCTAGCATACCAGGGTAGGAAATTCAATACAATTTCAATTTGTGGCATTTGTAATAAGCAGGGTCATTCTGCAACCGGCTGTTACAGCCGTGAACATTATTTCAGTGGTAATTGTTATAATTGTGGCAAAAGAGGTCATATTGCAAAAAAATGTCGGGGAAGGGCACAAAAAAGGATTTGAGAGATATAACTCGTTATAGTTGTCGGGTTGAAATGCCATATTGCTAGAGATTGTAACAACGAAAAACAGGGTGACAATTTAAACCCAAAAAGTCTATTTTAGGAAGGGCGGAAAATAGACCAACTAGCCATGGGAAAAAATGGTAGAAAGCCCTCGTTTGTGTTCAATATCAACCGATATATATAGTAGTAGTTTGATTAAGGTGAAAATAAATGATAGATACGTTTGGGAATTGGTTGACACAGGAGCAGAAATTTCGGTTATTTCAAAAAGTTTCATGCGAAATTTTCCAAGCTTGAGAAATCGTAAAATATATCCCCCCCCCCTTTCGACGTTCAGCGCGTACTGTGAATGGTCAGATAGTTCCGCTCAGAGGTCGGATCTATTTCAACACAGAAATAGCGTATCAAAAAGTAACAATTCCTTTTCACATTGTTGACTATACGAAAAGTAATGTGATAATTGGAACGAATTTTCTTGTGGAACATAAAGCAGTTATTGATTTCTCAGCACGAAAGTTTCACTTGAGACCAAAATCCCCAATATGGACACAGTGTAGTATCACGATCCCTCCCAAAACACAGCAAATTATAACTTGTAAAACTCGGTCGCACTATCCAAATGGCGTGATTGCAGAAAATAGATGCGTAAATAATTTATCTAAGTACGGGTTATTGACCGCAAAAGGAATTTTTGAAATAAAGAAGAATAAGGTGCCAATTAAAATAATGATTCCATTAGACACAGAAATTCAAATACCCCGAGGCATTAGGGTTGGAATGTACAATGCTTGATCCCAGATACTGGCATAATTGACGTTGGCTCAGAGAGAGAACCCTTAAATTTGAATGAGTTTAAGTATGATAATTACCCTAGTGAAAATGTAATCCCCTTTAATGTTGACATGACGGGGGTTGATTTAGACTCTGGACAAAAGGAAACATTAAAAAAATTCTTAAATATGAATGGAAATGTATTTGCAGAGATTGCCGGTCATAAGAGCCACACAAAGGTAATACAACATAAAATTAGATTGATTGGCGACCCTGACCCAATTAGTTGTCGACCATACAGAGTTACTCCTCAAAAAAGTTTGGAAATTGAGAAACAGATTAATGATATGCTATGTGAAGACATAATTTCCCCTTCTGTGTCAGAATGGAGTTTTCTGGTCGACTTGGTTATGAAACCTGGGGTGCTTACAGATTCTGTGTCGACTATAGGAAATTGAACGCAATTACGAAATTAGAGCCATATCCATTACCATTAATTGTAGATTATTTTGATTCCTTAGGAATAGCCAAACCCAAATATTTTTCGATGCTAGATTTAAAAAGCAGATATTTCCAATTAGACCTACATCCAGACAGTCGTGAACTCACTGCATTTACGACCCATGCTGGGAATTATCAATTTAACCGATGTCCAATGGGAGTCGCTGGGAGTGGACATTCATTTCAACGGCTCATGAATATTGTGCTTAGAGGATTAAATTGGAAGAGTTGTTTATTTAGATGATATAATCGTGTTTTCCGATACTTTTGAGAAACATTTGGAGGACCTAAATCAGATATTTCGAAGGTTAACAGCGGCTAATTTAAAACTGAAGTTAGCAAAGTGTAAATTTGCATGTAGGGAAGTAAATTTATTTGGGTCATTTAATAAGCAAGGACGGTATCAGATCAGATCCCGATAAATGTACAGCTATAAGGGATTTCCCCATTCCACATGACGTAAGAAGTTTGAGAGGATTTTTAGATATTTGTAATTATTATAAAATGTTAGTGTTCCAATATGAGAAAATAGCGAGGCCTTTGAACGCGATGACTAGTAAAAATGTAACGTTTGAATGGACAGAAGAATGTCAACGGGCATTCGAACAGCTGAAAGAGGCGCTAACAAATCCACCTATTTTGGCATACCCCGATTTCGAGAAACCATTTATATTAAGTTGTGACGCCTCTGGGCAAGCCATCGGGTTTATTTTATCGCAATTGTAAGACGGACGTGAGAGAGTTATTGCATATGGCGGGCGGGCGTTAACCCCAAAAGAGCGCAATTATCCTATAACACAATTAGAGGCGTTGGCCGTAGTGGTAGGAATTTAATATTTTGACCCGTATTTAAGGCACGCAAAGTTCAAGGTAATAACGGACCATTCAAGTTTAAAGTATATATTCGGGTTAGTAAGTCCCAAGGGCCGAATTGGAAGGTGGGTCATCGCGTTACAACAGTATGATTTTGAAGTCGTACATAGGCCCGGTAAGATTCACCAAAACGCTGATGCATTGTCTAGACGTACCTATGAGGGGCCCCAAATTAGAATTAGAGGAAGATGATTATTTAATTGGAATAATATCCTTAATAATTGATAAAGCCCAACCAGAAATTAATAATGAAAGACCGGTAGACGTACATTGCGGAGGGAATATGGTCGGTGGAACGCCTGAAGACACAGGCTGGTGCAATGTTAGTGAAATGCAACGAGCCGACCCAGAAATAAGCCAAATAATAGAATATTTAACAAATGGGACCCTACCACCTGAACCGTGCAAAGCGCGAATATTGGCATATACTAGGAACGGATATTTTATGGAAAATGAAAAATTATATCACCTCTGGTTCCCCAAGGGTAGATTTAGTAAAGAACAGGATTGTGTAAAAGAGTTAGTCATTCCACATAAATTAAGAAATTGCGTTTTAGAACAATTTCGCAATGAAGTGACAGCGGCCATTTTGGGTTTGCAAACACCTATACTTCAATCAGACAGCGTTATTATTGGCCAAAAATGGCTTCTGAAATCCACAGTTGGGTGTCTACGTGTGTAGATTTCGCCACTAGGAAATCTCCTAAACTACGCTCCAATACCGTTAAAAATAGAGGCCCCCTGGCATAGTGTCGGAGTTGATTTCATTGGACCCATACATACAATTCGGGCAGGAAATCAATATATCATCGTATTTACCGATTATTTCACGAAATGGGCGGAGGCTTTTGCGACGGAAGATGCGTCAGCTCGAGCAACAGCTAGAATTCTATTTGATGAAATTATATGCAGGTACCGAGCACCACGATGTCTCTTATCAGACAGGGGTCAACATTTCTTATCGGAAGTAATCAGGGCAACCTGTCAAATGTTTGGAATCAGAAAAGCAAACATGCACCATATAACCCTCAATGCAACGCGAATACGGAATGTTTTAATCATACATTAATTCAAATATTAAGTATGTTTTGCGACTCTAGACAGGAAGATTGGGATGTATTTATACCGGCCGCGTTATTTGCGTATAGAGTAACCAGACAGGAAACGATTCAGGAAATGCCATTTTATTTGACATATGGGAGACGAGCGACGTTGCCAATAGATACAGCATTGTTAGAACCGGAACAAGGGAATAAAGTACCCCGAGATTATGCGGAATTACTGAAAGAGAAATTAAAAGTTGCCCATGAAACTGCTTTAAAATGCATTGAAGCTAATCAAGGAAGAATGAAATATTATTTTGACCGGCGAGCGAAAGAGAGTACTTTCCAAATTGGGGACATTGTTTATTTGTATACGCCTAAAACAACGTCGGGGTTGAGTAAAAAATTGGAACATCAGTGGCACGGGCCATATCGCACGTTTGAAAAAGTATCTCCCGTGAATTTCCGATTGCAACGCGTATGTGATGGGAAAATATTCAAAAAATATAGTGCATGTGAATAGATTAAAACACGACGCCTTACGTGAAGAACGAAAGGACAAGAATATAATTGGGGAAACCCCTGAATTTGAAATTGTGAATACTGATGGGAGGGATACGGAAATGCAAATTGAACCCACAGCCACTCAAACGGTAATTACTGAAGAAATTGTTCCTAATTTAGATGATATACCTGAAGGAGAAAATGATTCTGAAGGGTCCAGAGACACAGAGATGAACAGTAAGAATAGCGGATATTTTGGTATCGAAAAAATTATTAGGGGGTGATTAAGAAAGGGTAGGAAAGAATAGCTTATTAAATGCGTAGGTTACCTAAAAGATCAAAATTCTTGGGAGTGCTATGAAAATTTAAATGAACAAGCGAGATTATTTTTAGAAAACCATCCGATACCCCTTATGGGGTCGACAAAGGCGACTAAAAGAAAGCCGGAGAAATTGATTAATAGTTTAGAGGTACCGTACTCGACCGCGTTAGTGCCCATGCCCGGGCAAGCGCCCCCCTCCCCACTTTTGCGCAATTTTTATATTTGGGGTCACATTTGGCAAAGCGCCCATCCCTTCAAAATGCAAATAATTTAAAACTTGCGTAATGATTCTTGGTAATCGTTTTTATATGATACAGCGCGGATATCGATCGCTGTGAACATGTTGTGAATGCGTAGAACACGGTAACCGTGCGTAAACTACGCTTTGACAATGACCTGTTAATACAAGTAAAATGCGATAAATATTTCATGCCATATTCAGTTTACCTCTCAAAAATGACTAGTTACTAGTTTTTTGGAAAAACCATGTCGTTTATTCGCTGAAATCAATTCCAACACATCGTACTTCGACATTGATTATTCACTTCTGCATTGCGTTACCGGAAAGTCTTTGGGAATTTCCGAAGAATTGCATCAGTACAACACAGCATTCTGATTAGTTAATGACCAACTTGACCCATTAGGTCAAAGGACGCTGCTGAAGGTCAAATCTGCAATTGAATCATGGCAGAAAGTGATTTTCATCGAGAGTTTGCGGACGATCCAACAACTTCGTCAATGGAAATAATATGACAATTTTGACTTCGACTGTGTTCCAACAGACTCAAATGTTTTTAATTACGTAAATTATGGTGGTACGTAATAAATATTGTAATAAAATGTGCATATTTTTTGTGATCATTTCTGTTTCTTCATTGTGAAAATCAATGACGACGCAACTAATTTAGTAATTTGATTTTCCCTCAAGGACGTAATCTGTCACTTGATGAATCAACATTTTCATTTGCACTCTTTTTCGAGGGGGTGCCCACCCCTACAAAATCGTGATTTTCTGAGTTGAGGCCCCTGGGCGCTAACGCGGTCGAGTACGGGATATTAAAAAGAGATTAGGTGTGACAAGACGAACGTATTTAGATCGTGGGACGCATGTCATTCATTACTATAATACTTAATACTTAACACTTAACAAGTTCATTCATGCGAGATCGTTTCTCAATAAGCGTGGAAAGAATCTATAATAAAACCCATGATTAAGTTACAAGGAGAGTGGGCGGCGCTAAGTAGTGGTGTGATTCCCACATGTTAACTGCGTACTGGTTGGTGTTGGGGTCACACCTTCATTTAGACGCCGGGCGGTGACACCGTGGACATTTTGATGAGAACATAGGAAACGTTTTAGGTGGGTATTTAATTCTACCATTCGATCACGCAAATTGAGATCTGACCACGGTTTTATTATTTGTCATGTATCATATCCCTTTCTTTTAATTTCATTACTAATTTTATAGTGCGTCTCCCGAGAAATTGATGTCAAGATGAGAATAGCGTTGATATCTATTAGTGTATTACTGGTCGTACGATGGAAACCATCTGTGCAGACGAGAGATTATGTTCTGCGCCCCAATTATGGAGTATTGTTTGAACGAGTAGCGAACATAGATAACAGTTTAACTTATTGGCACCATACGTTCTCGATACCTTATTTAGATATTCCTATGATGAGTGTGAATTGGTCATTATGTTCAAACGTAACAGTTCACCCATTCCGACGTTTTGTGAGGAATACAGGGAAATTTTGAAATTAATTGAGCAACAGAATAAGTTTTATACGTATCACATTTCAAGGGACGAGAGGGTGATTCGTGTGTTATTCCCAAAAATAGAGAGACAAGATTTGGGCGATGAGTGACAGAAGAGGGGACTATTAGACTTTGTAGGGAAAGTATTGAAATCTTTATTTGGAACGGCCACGTCGAACGACGTAAATATTTTGAGACGACATATAGTGGCACTGGAAAGTTTCACCGAAGTTATGACAAATCAAATTGTTGCATACGAAGATGATTTAAATTCATAAGTTTTCACAACGAATAAGAGAATAGGAAATGCTTTGAATGGGATTAAGGAAAATCATGAGGCCATTTATTCGTTCGTATCTAGTTTATCTCAATGGAGAGAGCGCTTGAACAACATGGAATTCAATCAAGAGGCGTTAGAAAAAGAATTAAATTATGAACGGCGATCCACACATTTAATGTTTCAATATGCTGTCCAACAGCTGCAAGCGTTACAGTTACTTGAAAGGGAGACACAACGTAGGGTGGCTTCAATTGACATGTTATTACAAGAAAGGTTGCCTTTGCAGTTGCTCGGACCAAAGGTGTTAGGGGATGCTTTAAGGGCGGTACGGAAGAAAGTACAAAGGAAATATCCTAATTTTGATATAGCATATACAAATTTGAATTATTATTATCATAATGCGAGAGTGACATTTCGGCGTACAGACAAAAATGTGTACATAAAGGTTAGAATCCCCATTACAATAATAAACGACATATTCAAGGTGTATAAGGTGATAGTCATGCCTATGCCCCTCCCTTATGATTTAGGTGATAAGCCTCAGCGTTTTGACAATAATACAGCAAAGAACGGGCGCATGAAGGTGAAGTCAGTTTCAGAGTATTTTGGGGTTAATGAAGATGAAACTTCCTATATTGAAATGAGTACGGACCAATTTTCCACCTGTAGTGGTCAGTCAGAAAAAGATTGCCCCTCTGTACTTACCATGATAAATATGCGTAAGTCGTTGTGTATGAAGGCCTTGTTCTACGATAATAAAGAGGAAATTCATAATACATGTAAAATAGATTTAATAATTAATCCTGTATACAACCCGAAGGTTCTTGAAATCGGACAGGGGAATATCTTAGTGAATAGCAAATATACAAAATGGTTGATAGAATGCGGGGATAGAAACCCAGAGCCTATTGAAGGTTGTACAATGTGTATAATTAAATTGCCATGTGGATACGCTATACATCCAAATAATTTTTATATACCACCGTTTTTGACTAGTTGCACAGAAGTTGAGGGCCCCACGTTTCTGCATCTGGTAAATTTGCCATTCTTAATACCCTTTTATGACCCAGATGACTTGATAGAAATTACAGGAGAATCAATGTACGAGAATCCGTGGCGAGTACAACTGCCTAACATAACCATTAGCAGGGGAAATTTGGATGAAATTGTACGTTCTGACGCCCGTTTGGTAGTGGATTTAAACAGGACGGCAGATTTATTAAAGAAAAACAAACCAATTTATTATTCTATCGCAGACAAATTATTTAGCGACACAATTGATGAAACTCCTGTCTTGCCATTTTTGGAGGTCAAAACTATTACTATAATTGAAACCATTCTGGCTATTATATGTACAGGGTTGCTGATTATGTCGGTATATACAATTTGTAAGGTGAGAACTTTGAGTATATTGGTTGCAACCATTCCCAGGCCCCGGGCTAAAACATTGTATTTGCCATTAGACGAGTTAATTACGGACAATCCCTTGCGAGATTTGAAGAGTTCTGTGATCCAACTTCGGAACGAAACCTTAATTCTAATTATTTGTGTGTTTAGGATTCTTATTGACATTAGCGATTATTCGGTTGTATAAATGTTATCGTAACTGCTCTATAATGTATCGTGCACCTACATTGCCCCGCACGAAATTGATTTTGGAGATATCAAATGACAAGCTGTATGTCTTGGTAAATGTCATGACCCTGTACGTGTCTCCGAGTCATTTGGCCTTTGCAAAGCGACCCGTGATCGTGAATTTGACCATTGAGCGAGGCATATTCGCGTCTGTGTTAAATATTGAATGGGGTGATTTGAAATACAAACTACATAACGAGGAACATGTGATTCCTTTGCCCAAGGCCGTTAAAGTACCAAAATGGAAAGATAGTGTGTGCACAGCTGTAGAAGGTATAGGGAATCATTATAGATTGCTAGTTGGGTTGTTTGAAGTATATACCGAAATGCTGAATATTTGGGTAACAAGTGAAGTGCTGTCACCTCTCCTTGATAGAGTAGAACATTCGAAAATATAATCAATGTATTTAGAATTATAATCTTTGAGTTTGAATGTATAACTATTGTATTCTAGAATTATAACAGTTGTGTTTAAATTTATAAACATTTTATTTGAAATTATAGTCATTGTATGTAACCATTGTTTTTACTCATCTGAAACTATACATTTTGTTATATTAGTGTGTATTTTATTTGCATGATGAGTGTTGATGTATTTGATGCGTGAAATATAAAGGTGACGACATCTTTGACATGGAAACATTTTGCTCGGAGAGCATAATCGGAATTTGAAAAGGGGGGTTGTATCATGATTTATATTTCGGCTTAATAGTGGTTGCCATGACATCTACTGATAAAGATTAAATGGTGAGGCCAGATGACGGTACTGGTCGAGACCAGACGACACATTCTCATGAGTTTGCGATTCAAAGCTTATGCGGTGCTTTGGTCGTAGACCAAAACTAATGATGTTTGCGATTTCAAGCTTATGCGATGTCTTGGTCGTAGTCCAGAACAAATGATGTATATTGATGTCAACTGTGGAATGTTATTGCAAGACCATTAGTACCCATAAATATAAACTGACGTTGACGATATGATAGTGGTTTTCCTAATATAGTGACGATTAATCAATTGTATTA